CCATACTTTTGTCATTTAGCGTTGTGCTGGCTCGTTTGGTCCTGATGCCGAGTAAAGCATCATCATCAGCATCAGCATCAGCAGCATCATCAGCATCGCCATCATCATCATCGTCATCATCGTCAGCATCACCAGCATCATCATCATGAGCATCACCATCACCATCATCAGCAGCAGCATCAGCATCACCATCATCATGAGCATCATCGTCTTCACCGTCATCATCGTCATCATCAGCATCGCCATCATCATAGGCACCTCTTCCTCCCTCATCATCATCGTCAATTATCATGGTCGCTTCTGTCGAAGCTTCATGCCAGACGAGGGGAGGTGAGAAAGGCGAAACGCTTGCATTGTTTCCACAGCCTTTGGCTTTTGAGCTGGCGCCGCGGGTGTCCAGCGGTGCATGGTTTGGTTGGGCCTCCTGGAGGGTTTGCTGCGTGTGCTGGATCGGTGGGGAGTGCCAGCGCTCCATGCCTGGGTCAACCGCTGCCTGGCGACGCGCGCCCCCGCCTGTCCTACGCGCCCTGCTTGTCCGCCGTGCCCAGGGGCGACCGTGGGAGTGGCGGCGGGGATAATGACCTTGGCTTGTGGCGCGGCCGCGCTCGTTGGAGTCGACTGCGTCGTGCTGGCCGCCCTCGCCGAGCCACGCCCGTGGGGCCCGCGCCGCTTCACCGCCGCGCCCAGCGACCAGCCGCGCGCGCACGCGGCGTCCCCGACGCCGCCCCCACCGCCCACCTCGGCGCTCAAGGTTATTCTGCTGCCGGTGATGGCGGAGGCCTGGGCGCGGGTCCTGTACAATGTGGGCGGCGCGCCGCTCTTCCACCAGAGGAGGGTGGTGGGTCAATTGGCGCTCGCGGGCGACGTCATAACCGTGACCCCAGACGACATGGTGTACGCGGAGCGGCTGCTGGCGGCGGGCCCCGACACCGCGGCGTTGCGTTTCGCGGCTGCGCGGTGGCCGCCACCACGGGGCATCGCGCCAGAGACAACCTACCGCTTCGGCCGAACGCTGTCGGCCGCCCGCGAGGCCGCCTGGCTGGCGGCCGCCACGGCCGTGGCCGACGCGGAGTTCGCCTGGCGCCACCTTGGCGCGCTGCCCCCCCCCGCGGGGCACGCTCGCGCCGATGGGCGGCGGGCTCTTGTCAGGGGCGGTGTGGCACCGGCGCCCGCTTCCCTGGCCGCCCCCGCTGCGGCCGCGCCCATCGCCGGCGGGGCCCCACCCGCTATTCACCAAGCGCGTTCCACTTTTCGCAGGGTGCCTAAACGCCCGGAAGAAGAAGAAGAAGAAGAAAAACAAAAAAAAAAAAAAATGTTTCGATGAGATGTACCGTAGAGCCCCCGCGGCGGATCCAAGCCATCTGCGAGTACTTACGTTGCGAATAGTGGAACGTGCTCGTCTAGCCATAGGCGCGCCAGCGGGACCTGGCTGGAAGAACGACGGCGGGCCCCCTCCGGGGGCGAACGGCGAGGCGCTGGCGGGCTGGGTTGGGTGTTCGCTGAAGACGTCGACTCGTTCTCCTTCGGCTCTGTGGTCCAGGTCGGGCAGATCAGCGGCATCGTCGTGGCGTCGCGGGCCAGGAGTCGCGCGGCGCTGGTCCTCGGCGGCGTTGTCTCGAGCGTGGCTTTCCTCCTCGAGGATTGGCCGCGGGCGGAGTTCAGCAAGCAGTGGCGCGGACGGTCCCTGGGCAGGCGCCAAGAGTTCCGGCGGGCCCGCGTTGAAAAAAATGAAGCATGAGAGGGAGGTTTGGGAGCTCCTCCTCTGCAGCCTCTTCCGGAGATGCCCCAGAGGCCTTCGGACGCCACCAAAGACCCAAACCGAACCAGAAGCCCCCTACAAAACCTCCATGTTGTTGGTCTTGACCAATGACCTCCAACCCAGCCCCTCCAAACCTGCTCTCCCTCCCCAGAGGAAGGAGAAACGGCACCACCACCATGAGGAGGGCCAGTTCCTGCGAGGAGGTCCACGATGCCGCCTCCTCTCCGAGCTGATCAGTTGACTTGTCCGAGCAAGCAGCGGTTCGACACCCTCCACGAAAACCCTCTTCTGCTCTTCGCGATGGCGGGGATGATGCCGTCGCTCCTGGCTTCTCATTGCTCCCGACGCGTTGTTGCGGCGGCGCCCCCACCGCTGGAGTTTAAGGTTTACCGGCGTCGGTGGCCCAGAATCGGCCGCCATCGAACAACATGCCGAAGCGAAAAGTTGCGACCGCCCTAGGTTCAAAGATCCACCCGGTGCCAGGAACCAGAACTGACGTCATTTCGTCGTCATCTTCGCGACAGCATTCGGACCCCGCTTGCCCTCATATGCCACAAGGAAATTTGATCGTTCCGCGAATTCCGCTGGCCCGTATTGCAGAACCGTTGGCACTTGCCCGCGTGCTCGTTGCGATTGTGGCGTTGTTGGGCGGCGATAGTTTCCTCGAGGCGTTGCGTGAGCTGCTTTGAGGAGGCAGCTGCTGCGGAGAGTGATGGCGACAGTCCTCGAGGATGCTCCCACTGGGAGCATCCCGTGGATGTCTGACCACATACCGCTGGCCCTTTGGGCTAGCGGATTTGACAGATGCATTGGGCGAATATTGGGGCCGTCTTGGGTTTTTGGGGGGCCTTTCTGAAGCTTCTGATTGCCATTGAGGTGCCTCTCTGGGCGGGCTCTTGGGGGCGTGCAGACGGTCTCCGAGAGTTTGGTTTCCCATTCTTGCGGTTGTCTGCAAGAGTTCTTGGGAGAGTCTTGGGCCGTCTTGAGGCCCTCTGGGAGGCCTCTTGTATCTTCTTAAGGTGCTCTCTTGGGCCTCTTGGGCCGTCTTAGGCTCAAGAACGCGAAATTAATCGAAACGCCTGCGGACAATCAACGATGTTTGCTTGTTGGGACCCTTTGCGAGAGCCTGATGGGCTTTGGGGGGGCTGACTTGGGGTCCTCTCAAGCCGTCGTCATTCCATGTTGGGCCGTCTTCGAGCGTTATTGGGCCATCTTGAGAGCGCTTGGACAGCCTTGGAGCTCCTTTGGAACAGGAAGCGCCCCAGACATTGCACCACGTAGCTTGCACAACGATTGCATCGCATAGATTGCATCACGCAGACTGCATCCCAGTGGCTGCACCAGGCAGACTGCACCGCATGACATACACCACGCAGACCTGCATGCCGCACACTGCACCCCACAGGCTGCGCATCGAGAGTACAGGGGATCACTGCTTCGGGGCCACGCTGGCCAACACAACACGCATGCGCTCACCCATCGGTCGTTGAACTTGGGTATCTTTGGACCTCCTGATTCCAATCTACTCTAGGCGCCTTCCATTTTCAAGGATCGAGTGATGACCTTTTTGCTTCGTCTTCCAGGGCCGGGCGGAGATCCAATCTAGTTCAACGGCGTCCTAATTGATGTTTCTGCCCACTTCTTCCGACTCCCTCCCCGTGAGCCTATCTCCGTCCTCGGTGGTGTTCGGGCCCTAACCCTGGCCTCCAGCCGCCGTTCGGGACGATCCGGGCACCCCCAAAACGCCTTCGGCGAGGCGCAACTGCTGGAACGCATCCTGAGGCAGCAGAGCCTCCAGGAACCGGCGAAACGTCCAGACACTCACGAGGAGGACCCTGGAAGGCGAGGGGGAGGACCTTGAAGAGAACCCTGGAGGGCGAGGAGGCAGGCGCGGCGCTACGGGGGTCCTGAAAACTGTTTCGCAATTCTGCGACACCGGGCCCCCGCAGTGTAGGCACGCGCGCATGGCACCTTGCCCCGCTGCCAGAGCCTTTACTGGGACGGAGCAGGCAGGCATCCACAGTGGTTTTCTTTCTTACGTGCAGCACCCGTGTACAGTTTGCAGCGTGTTGCTAGCACGGCCCTCTGACGCCTCTGGGGCAAGCGGCTGCGGAGGCGGGGAGGTGTTGCTGCAATCCCGCCCATCCCGCCCGCGCTGAGCTGTGTGCGCCGCCACCCTGCCCGAGACTGGGTCCAGACCGATCTGCGCACGAGGCCCAGGGCGTCGGCACAGCGCGCCCCTCCTGGGTGCGCGCGACCCGGCCAGATCCCGGAGGGCGAGGGGGGGCACATTGGAGGGCGAGAGGGAGGACACCGAGGAGGACCTTGGAGGGCGAGGAGGAGGACCCTAGAGGAGGAGGACCCTGGAGGGTCAGAAGGAGGAGGGAGAGGAGCAGGGCCAGTGCAAGCCCGAGACTCATCTACGGTGTTGGAACACATACACACACACACACACACACACACCCTCCCAGCTCCCTCTTCACAGGCCTCTACAAGGGTGAATTGCCACTGGGGAAGCGCCCCGTTGGGAGGCAACCGTGTGGAAATCATGAAGCGTGCCAAAGCATGGTTTTCAGGATTCCAATGCCACGAGTATACCTGGCAGCTGCGTCTTGACGGCCGGGAATCTTGCCAGAGCGCCATATTGGGTGAATCCAACACCGCGAATCAACGCAGCTGCTGCGCCGTGACAGTTCTGAGTTGTTTCAAAACACCGTTTCTGATACGCTAACCGTCATAATCTTTAAAATTCTTGCAAATGTTTGAAATGAAAGTGCGCGGCGCGAAGGCGAGAACCACAAGTTGAAAATGAGCCGCCCTCAATCCGCGAAGCTCTTGCAAACTGCGCGCGGCGCTTAGGCGATAGCCACATGTTGAAAGCGAACCGATCTCAAGCCGTGAAACTCTTGCAACTGCTTAAAACGAATGCACGCGGCGCTAAAGCGAGAGCCACATGTTGAAAACGAGCCGCCCTCAGTCCACGAAGCCCTTGCAATTGTTTAAGGCGACATGTGTGCGGCGTTCAGGCGAGAGCCACATGTTGAAAGCCATCCGCCCTCCATTTGTGAAAGTTTGTTGCCAGCTTCTAAGCTTCAGGCTCATACATGGTAAGGAAGTCTCAGGCGAAACGCCCGGCCCACTATTCCGACGGGTGCGACAGGGAGGAGCTATCCATAAGGAAGAGGAATAACGGAGAAGAAGGAGGAGGAGGACGGTTAGAGGGCGGCCACATCCACGGAAGGCACCCGCAGTGGCACGCCGGCGCTGCGCCCGCGGCAGACCCGGCGCCCACGGCGCCCGGCCCGCCGCAGGGCCCGCAGCAGGCCGGAGATTCGGCGCGCGCGGTGCGGCCAGTGCGGACGTCTATACGCCGACGGCGCCGACGACGACGCCGACGACGCCGACGGCGCCGACGCCAACGGCGTCGCCGCCGACGCCGCCGCCGACGACGACACCGACGACGACGCCGACGACGACGACGCCGACGGCCCCGACGCCGACGACAACGGCCACCACCACCGCGCGCCAGGCCAGGGTGTCGGCGCGCGAGGTGCGGCTGGCGCGGACGTCTGACGCTTTACGCCAACAGCGCCGACGTCGGCCCCGAGACAGGCGTTTGCAGCGTTTCCCCCACAGCGTTTCGCTAGAGGCTTGTGAGGGCGTTGGTTAAGGACTGCGCCCAGGAGGCTGCAGACCCTGGAAGACTCCTTACTATCCGATGAGGGCGGCGGTGATATGCATGGCCAAGCTTCGATTGGAGTCCCACAGGCCTCCAGACACTGGATTCCTTATCTAAGGAATCCTTATCCAATGCCCCCACTGTAGTCAGGGCTGGACCTAAACGGTGTTTTTGCCATCTCGTGGGCCGTTTTGTTTTTCGTTCTGGTTTGCATTTGAGGCGAAGTGGAGGCAAAACGAGGAAGAGCCAAAAAGAAATCGAGTTTAGGTTCAACCCTGCTGATATTTCTACCAAAAAATGAAGCAGTCTTAACAACGACAGAAGAGTCCCACTGTGGGGAACGAAGAGCCCCCAGTGCGCCCAGTCGGGCAGCCGTTTCGCTTGAGTTTTCTTCACACTGTATTCAGCAATCGCGCTTCCACCGCAATGCCGGCCACGTTTTTGGTCCAGGCGGCCCAGGAATCTTTAGGATTGTTGAGGAATACACGTTCTCATTAGCCGATCTCCTACCCTTCAACCCGCATTTTCATTATGCCTTCTCTTACAGTGCTTTGCTGGGGCATTTTTGTCACAGCAGGCTTCTTCGCCATGACCCAGGCCCCAGGACCACAACGGATCGACCTGGCGCGGAAAACGCCGCTAAGTAGGGTCAAGAGCTCCGATCGCGATTTTTCGCCATGTTCCAGTTCTTTTCGTAACGCCTACGACAGCGCTCACGCCGACGGCGCCGAAGTCCACCCCGAGATCGCAGCGGCGGGAGCGCATCCCGGGGCGAGAAAAAAACAACGAAAGCCTTAGAAATCGGCGGCGAGAGAAAGGGGGAAGTGAGAAAAAGAAGGCATTCTCAGAAGGCGGCGGGACGTCTCAGAAGCCCTCGTGCCTCCTGAGAAGTTGTTCTCGTCGCTGGGAAAGGCTCAGGAAACTTCGCAGAACGGCCGGGGGACTTCCGAGCCTTCTGAGAAGGCCTTCTCCTTCTCACTTCTCCCCGTCGCTCGCCGCCGAAGAAAGTTTCTTCGATCGTCGGTGTCCTTTCTCTGTTCTTCGATCGTCTTCGATCGTCCGACAGGGCGCGCTCTGCGACGCGGCGAGCGGCCCAAAAGGGCCCAGGACAGCAGCGGTCGGCAGCAGTTGCAGGGGAAGAGGGAGAAGAACAGAGAAAGGATACCGACGATCGAAGAAACTTTCTTCGGCGGCGAGCGACGGGGAGAAGTGAGAAGGAGAAGGCCTCTTCTCCCTCTTCCCCCGCAACTGCTGCCGACCGCTGCTGTCCTGGGGGCCCTTTGGGGCCGCTCGCCGCGTCGCAGAGCGCGCCCTGTCGGGCGCCCCCGCCAGGCCGGGAGCCAAAAAGGGCCGCCGCAAGGGCGCGAAGTCGCTCCGGTCGTGGAAAGCAAGCCTTTTTGGGAGATCCAGACCCCAATCTATTTTTTCTCCTCCTGCGCACGTGCTGAGAGGCGAAAGGGGGAGAGGTCCTTCCGTCCTCGGGAAAAGAAAACGGGGAGGGGGGCCCTTCGGAGAGGACCTTTTTGTCACCCTGGCAGGAAGGCCGCAGACCTGCCAGGGGCCAGCGACGGGGCCCCCCTCGCCCAAAACTAAGGCGGGCGGAGCGCCTGCCCGCTGGCGACGAGAAGGTCGGGCCGCCAGGGCTCTGCAAGAGGCACCCAGGTGGAGCCCTGGAGGTACCTGCCCTGCGCGAGGCCACGCAGCACACGCACGCCCCACGCACTGGGACGGAGGTTGCACTGTGCCCTGAAAGAAGCAGAGAGCGCAACGCCTCCAACGCCGCAGACTGCACAGACCATGCCTGTGACCCCATTCCCGAGAAGGATGGGGAAGGCCTGGTGGGAGGGATGCCCATCTCTCCTGAGGGCGGCAAGCGCAACGTCGGCTCGAGAGACGATGGGCGGCACCACGACAGGAGGCGGCATCACAGACAGGACGGCACGGCCCTCACGCGCTCTGCGCGTCTTGACGTGCTGACAGTCTAGGTCGGCCATCTTGCACCCGATCCTGCCGACCCAGACCGTCAAAAACTTGAGCACCTTCGCCTGAGCGGCATATGCGTCTCGGTACAAAACTGGAGCACGGGTGAATTCGGCAGCTTCCTTGGCAGTGGCGTCGGCGAGCGAGTTGCCCACGCGCTGCCTGCATGTGACTAGACCTCGCTCGAGGTCGGCCGCCGTGGTGTGGGCCTTGACTTTGTGCAACCGAAGAGCCTCCACCCCACCACGATCCTCGATCAAGGCCCACACCAGGCGCCAGAGATCTGCCCAGGCAGCTCTGGCCGAGAGACAGTGTAACTTACCACGCCTAAAGACTCCATCATGGACAAACTGCGAGTCGGTCCAAAACGTGGCACTGGGGAGGGCAAGCCGCAGAGCTCGGAGGAACGCCCAGAGCTCAACGGCGTCGGTATCGTAGAGACCAGGAGGCAGGCCGCCAGCCAGGACAGCGACAGGGACAGGCCTATCACCGTGCAGGGCGACCACGGCCCATCCAGGACTCTGCGCCTCAGGCGGCAGGTGTCCGTCCAGGAGGCTGCCGTCCAAAAAGAGATCTCCGTCCAGCAGCCCAGGGTGCCCTTTGAGCCAAAGCTCGTCGGGAGGAACAGGGCGAGCAGGCGGGGGGGGAGGCAGCGGCAGCAGCAGCCTCTCGGCGAGAAGACGGACAAGAGGGTGCCCGAGGTTCTGAACCAAAGAGGAGGCCACGGCTGGAGTCTCCATCTGAAAGACTTCAGCGTGCCCAGGGCAGGCCAAGTGCCTGTGGGCCAGGGTCCCTGGGGAATCAGAACACAACTGACACTGCGAGACGGCAGACAAACGATGCTCGGCTTGCTTGGCTTGAGGCCACTGACCACCGACAACGACGGAAACGACGTAAGCCCTCTCGTGGGCCTCAAGCCGTTGCATGCCAGACAGCACAGGAGCGAGCATGGGGCCTCTGCCGAACTCTGGCATGCTGAGATGCTCGGCAACTCGCTTCCAGCACCAGCTCTGCACAATGCGTTCAAGATGCCGCGCGACAGCCCTGGGGCAGAGCTCTAGGAGCGAGAAGCGGCCGACGCACTCGTGCGAGAGAACTAAGCCGTCGAACGTAATACCGAGACGACGGGCGGAGGCAACGCAACTGGTGAAAGGCCCTCGGATGGATCTCCAGGGCACAGAAGTGCTCTCAAGGGCCTGGTGGGCTCCGTCGAGGCCAGCGAGGATGAGCGGGATGGGCACCCAGGACTCCCACACAGCAGCAGCGAGGTGCAGGAGGGGAGCAGCACACAACTTGTAGGCAGGATCAACTTTTTTGACACCAGTCATGTGCAAAAGAAGCGTAACAGAGCGTCCATCCAACTTCTGTGACTGGACGCTGGCCTGCAGGAAGCGCGCCTCGCGCAGCTCGGTGTCGGTCGTCCCCATCACCCCCGACCCATAGGAGGTGGAGGCCTGGACGGCCGCACGGACCATGTTGTGGAGAGCTCGCCTTCGGAGCTGTCCTGCCAGCGAAATAATCTTTTTCTGTCGCGCCACCGCTGCCGTGCGGCGGCCACGCTTGGTGACTCGACGAATCACACCTCCTGCAGCATAGTCAACGCCTAGATTGCGCTCGCTCTGTACTGGGAGAACCTGCAGAGGGTGAAGGACGGAGGCAAGCCGCCTCCGCAGCCGAACGTGTGATGCGAGCAGCCGACTCTTGGGGCGGCTCACGGGAAGAAACGCGGCCTGCAGCTCGTGGTGAAGCATGGTGGTGGCTCGATCAAGACACTGGTGGACTCGATCTTCCGAGCCAACCTTGTGCAGCGCAAAGTCGTCTACCACCACCCCCAGCTGCACTTCTTCTGCAGTCTGGCGGGGGAACGCCGTATTTTTTCTCCTCCTCCTCCTCCTCCTCCTCCTCCTCCGCCTCCTCCTCCTCCTCCTCCTCCGCCTCCTCCTCCTCCTCCGCCTCCTCCTCCTCCTCCCTCCTCCTCCTCCTCCTCCTCCTCCTCCTCCTCCTCCTCCTCCTCCTCCTCCTCCTCCTCATCCTCCTCCTCCTCCTCATCATCATCATCATCAGCATCATCATCATCATCATCATCATCATCATCATTTCTCTCCTCATCCTCCTCCTCCTCTTCCTCCTGCAGGTGCCTTCCCTTTTCAAGAGTGCGCTTGTGGCGCACTTCTCACGATAAGGGGGGCCCAGCTTCTAGCTGCCCCCCCCCCCCTCCCGTGGGAAAGGGGGGGGGCTTCCGAAGCTACATCCCTGCCCCCTGTTGTGGACATTTCGGAGCCAGGGGGACCCTAGCTAAAGGGGAGGCGGCTTGGAAGCCACCACCCCCTCTTCTTCTCAGAGCCGAAGGTCAGCCCAGGCTTCCCTTTCCAAGGGGGGGGGGCTTCTTCGGAAGCTACCCCCCGCTCTTTCTCGAAGCTGAGATTGCCGTGCCAAGGGCGGGGAGGCTTCAAAGCTACCCCCCCCTCCCTTCTTTCTCCGAAGCCCAAGGCCAACCCGGGCTTCTCTTTCAAAGGGGGGGGGCTTCGGAAGCTGCCTCACCCACCCTCTCGCAGCTGAGATTGCCCTGCCAAGGGGGGGCTTCAAAGCTTCCCCCCCCCCCTTCTCTCCTTTTCCGGAGCCCAGGGTTAGCCCGGGCTTCTCTTTCAAGGGGGGGGTCTTCGG